AGCCCTCTGGGCGCCATAATCATTGGTTTTACTGAGGTGCTGGCCCCATTTTGGCATGTTTTTTTGGGTGGGGCTGAACGATATCCCACCAGCCCTCTGGGCGCCAAAATCATTGGTGATACTCAGGTTTTGGCCCCATGTTGGCCTCTTTTGGGGGGGGGGGGGGGGGCTGAACGTCATATCACCCCCTCCTTTGATCGATGGCCTTCAAGCCCAAGAGGCTTTCCAGGGCTCCCAAGAGGGCCCCAAGAGAGCCCCAAGAGGGCCCGAAGAGGACCCCAAGACCCCCAAAAGAGCTCCAATAGAGCCCCAAGAGAGCCCCAATACCCTCCCAAAGAGCCCCAGGAGAGCTCCAAGAGGCGATTTTGAGGGCTCCTGGGAGGGGGCCGAAATCGAGGACCCCCCGTATTTTGATCGATGCTCTCCTAGATGGCCCCAAGAGGCCTTCCAGGGCACCAGCCGCAGCACCAGCAGAGGCAGCAACAACATCAGCAGCACCAGCAGCAGCAGCAGCACCAGGGATCACACCCTTTGGATCCCTACACCTCCTCCTCCTCCTCCTCCTCCTCCTCCTCCTCCTCCTCCTCCTCCTCCTCCTGCTCCTCCTCCTCCTCCTCCTCCTCCTCCTCCTCCTCCTCCTCCTCCTCCTCCTCCTCTTCCCCTCGCACCCACGCGGCCCCCAGAGATGGCCCGAAGAGGCCTTCCCAGGCCACCCCCTTGCTCCCAGAGATCTCTCGGTTCATCATGGTTGCTCGCGTTGTTTCCCTAGATGTGTCCCGTCGTCTCGTTTCCCGTCAGCTCTCGTGGGCAGGGCTTCTGAATGGGCTAGTGGGGATATGCGAAGCGTGGAGAATTGGTGCCCAACCTCAAAAACCAATAGGGTTACTGTAACAACTATAAGGTGCTCCTTGTCGGTTAAAGAACCACAACTATGTATCAACGAGCACCATTAGGCTTTTACAGCAACACCATTGGTTATTGAGGCTGGGAACCTGTGAAACCTGTGCAAACAATTGTCAAATATCCGATGCTAGTTGTATATGCTTGACTTGCCATAGTCAGGACAAGTATGTGTTGTGTTCTGGGGCCTGGAATTTCGGTCGGGCTCGAAATCGAAGATCGGCTTTCCCAAACACGCGACACAGATCGAGACGGACAGACCAAACCTATAATCGAAAAACTATATATATATATATATAAAACAAAAAAATCTCGGATATCAAGAACACACACACACACACACAAACACGGAACAGATGAGAACCACATTAGTTAAATAAGAGGCAAGACAAGAAATAAACATCGCTAAACACAGCCATATGTTGCACTTACCCTGGGGGGGTACCCTTTTTAAGGAGCCTCCTCCTCTGATCGATGTCCTCCAATATGGCTTCAAGATAGCCCCCGATGCCCCCCAGGGTGCCCCCAGAGGGCCCCGAAAGGTGCCGAGGAGGCCCCAAGAGGCCCCACGATGCCCCCAAGATGCCCCCAAGAGGCTACCAAGAGCCCCCCAAGAGGATCCAAGAGACCCTCCAGAGGCACCACAAACGCCTCAAAAGGCCCCCGAGACTGCAAGAAGACCCCCAAGACGGCCCAAGAGGACCCCAAGACACTCCTCCTCTTCCTCCTCCTCCTCCTCCTCCTCCTCCCCTTCCTCCTCCTTCGACTCCTCCTCCCTCCTCCCCTTCTTGGGGTACGACGTGGCACCCAGCACTTGATTTCACTGCATAATCCTCAACATCCCTACTCAGGGCAACTCGTCTGGGCTTCGTTTCTCGATGGGCTGGTGAGGTCACGCGAATCGTCTAGACAAAATGATGAAAAAAAGTATCAGGCAAGAGCCGTTAGTTTTATCAAACGCGGGCCAAGGGCCCAATTTTAGGCACAAAACTTTCCCTTGTAACAACAGGAGGTGCGAGCAGGGGAAAGAGACCTTTCATTAAAAACATCACGTGCACCGAGGGGGATCAACAATAATCAGTCATTGGAAATGGGAAATCCACGATAACAACAACCTGGTGTTCCTTCTCCTCCTCCTCCTCCTCCTCATCCTGCTCCTCCTCTTCCTCCTCCGCCGGTTCTTCCTCCTCATCCTCATCCTCCTTCTCCAGATCATCATCATCATCATCATCATCATCATCATCATCATCATCATCATCATCATCATCATCATCATCATCATCATCATCATCATCATCATCATCATCATCATCATCATCATCATCATCATCATCATCATCATCATCATCATCATCATCATCATCATCATCATCATCATCATCATCATCATCATCATCATCATCATCATCATCATCATCATCATCATCATCATCATCATCATCATCATCATCATCATCATCATCATCATCACCAGCATCACCATTACCGTCCTCCTCATGTTCCTCCTCCTCTTTGTCCTCCTCCGCCTTTCCATCATCGTCATCATCAGCAGCAGCAGATGCTGCATCATCATCACCATCATCGTCATCATGACCGGCATCATAATCATCATACTCATCATTATCATCATCCTCATCATAACCAGCATCATCATAAGCAGCATCATCATCAGAATCATCATCGCCACCACCACCACCATCATCACCATCATGATCAGAATCCGTATCATAATCAGCAGCATCATCACCGTCGTCGACAACGGCGTCATCGTCATCACCCTTAACTACAACATCATCATCCCCGAGGTTCACCACCACCATCACCATTACCATCACCATCATCAGCAGCAGCTGCATCATCATGATCATCATCAACATCATTACCATCAACCTCATCATCACAATCATCATCACCATCACCATCACCATTATCGTTATCACCATCATCACCATCATCAACATCATCACCATCATCACCATTATCACCATCATCACCACCACTACCAGCATCATCAACAGCATCGCTGACATCAGCCCTCTATTCCTGATTCACCCTTTCCTCGTCCAGAAGCTTGCGGGCTCTACCTCACGCGGCTCGCGCGCCGAGCCTGCCTCGCATGGTATCCCGCACAGCTTTTACGCCTGCCGAAGCCTTCTTGATCTGCCTTCGGGGCCTCTCTACGGCCCGCCTGGATAGTTGTGGATAGTGCTTGGGGCTCTCATGGGGCGACTTCGGGCCCTCTGAAGAACTCTCAAGCTCATCTTGAGCCGTCGATTCAGAGAAGCACGATACGTCGCAAAAAGCCAGACGGTATTCGACGGGTTTAGTTGCTAGGAGCATACATTGCCCCCTCTGTGAGCCTCTCTTGAATTCAGTGAGGGGCCTCATTGAGTCCTTGGGTAGTCTTGATATCGATTGGAGGCAGCTTGATCCGCCACGAACGCCTCTTGGAGCCAACTTGACCCTCAGGTGAGGCTTATTGGCGCTCTCCCGGGCCACCTTGGACACATCGGAGGGCCAGAAAAGACGAACGTTCGAAGCAGTTCAAGCACAACGGGGGGAAATGCTGCTTGATCCGCTCGGCACTGCTGCTGCTCGCTGCTGCTGCGTGCGAAGGCGAGCTGCCGGCTGGTGCTGCTCACTGCTGCGGTGTGCTGATGCTTGCTGCCGTGTGGGCCTTCCTTCGCGCCCCGTGGGGCCTCTCTTGAAGCCTCTCGTCGTCTCTCGTGGGGCCTGAAGCGCAGTCACGGAGCCTCCTGAACCATGTCGACACCCCCTAAGACCCTAGACCAAAAACAGCCTCAGAAGTTATTGACACAACCCGTCGAGGTCGCTCTCTTTTGCCCCTGCGGTGTCGCCCCGTCAATATCCAACCAGGCCGAACCGCGATCTGGGCAGGTCCAACTCGGAAGTCCCACAATGACCGACATGGGAAAGTGGGCACCAACAAGTAGTCACACGCCATGTCAGCCACACCAAGAACATCAAATATACGACGTGACACGCTAAGGCTAATTTTGCCAAGGGTAATGGACCATCGTGAAGCTCACCTGGGGCCCACTTGGACCGTCTCGAAGGCCTTTTAGGGGCCTTTGAGAGCCCGAGAGCCCTCTTGGACTGCACTGCAGGATCATTGGGGCCATGTCGAGCTCTCTCAGACGCTCCTTGTTAGGCCGCCTCGGAGCTCTCTAGAGGCATCGTGGAAACATGCAGAGCCAAACAACTGGGGGAGTTTGATGACTTCGGCAGCCGCGGGCCTCTCTTAGCGCCTCGTATAGCCTGTCTGCGATCAGACGGGGGACCTCATTTAAGCCTCTCGGGCCATCTCGGAGTCGGTTGGAAGCCTGGCAAGCCATCATGGGAGCCTCATCGGGTAATGTTGAACCACAGTGGAGTCGAGGCGTCTTAGACGCCTCTTGGGCCTCACAAAACAGAATCTAGACATGCAGCGAACGATGACCACCTCTGCCCCTCAAACTCCCCTCTTGAATCCGAACGAGAATCGGTTCGCGTTTCCTGTCGTGCGATAAGCATGTATCCCAATGAATCTCGGGCTACCGCAGCTTACAAATCCCGCTGGGAATCGCTTCGCGCTTCCAAACATAGTGAGAACCCGCGCTCCCAGGGACCCAGACGCTAACCGAATACTGCAAATAGGATGTATTGTATGGTACAACAATACAGACAGGTAGATAGATAGATAGGTTCACGCTCGCACGGCAATGATCGACTGGAAAGTTTACTTTGCGCACAACTTGGAGCGCTGCTGCTGAGCCTTACGCACGGAACAACGTAACTGCTTATTCGCTCGTCAATAACACTCTGGGTACGTACAGTACTTGCTGAGGTATGGTGTTGTATGCTGATTACCTTCTTCACTGGCGCAATGGGTAAGTGCACTGCTGCCTGCTGCTGCTGCTTGCCGGTGCTTGCTCGTCCTCTCTGCCGCATGGTGTTGCGGCACTGCCAGTGACTCTGCCCTTGGCGGACGCTTCCGGCACAGATGTTACCATCGCCCTCGCATGGAAACACCCTGCACGCAAACTACCAGCAGCTGGCATGTCACAACACGTCCGGGGCAGGGGAAATGCACGCAGGGCCTGCCCCACGCGCTTGAAAGCCTCGTCGGCGCCCCTCGCGTTGCACTTATCGGGGTGAAGCTTGATAGCCAATTTGCGATAAGCCCTCCAATCCCTCTGTCACAGCACCGCTCAGCAAAGAGACCATCTGCGACATGGACGCTAAATGTCCCAGCGGCAAGAAATCTCACACACACACACACAAACACACACACACACACACACACACATCGAGCTTCCCCTTCGCTGCACATACGTCCCCCATAGTATCATGCGTCAATTCGATGCGATTCAACATGATATTTCTCTTCTAGTCGTTGTTACCGTCGTGCGCTCATACCAACGAACACTCCAGCTTCGTTGACCAGTACGCTGTGGCGCACGTACGGAAAACCACATGCGACCTGTGCACACAGGTCTATATAAACGTACACTAACGTGTAGATGCGGAAGTAGCCATATATCGATACACTCGAACAATAAATTTATACGTGTACATGTGCACACAGACATGCGTATGCTACAGATACATAGTGCGCAGGAACCCTTGGCTCTGCGTGCAGGGACTTCTGCTGCAGAGCAACAGCCTGCTGCAGGAACCGGCGACCCTGGTGGTGCCCAGATCCGCAGCCGTCATGACACTCGTGCTGCAGACGACGAGGAGGAGAAGTAGACACAAATAACAGGATTCCCATATTTTGCTATATTTTCTAGGCTTTAGTCTACCCTCCCACTTCCCATATTCTCCCCTATTTTCTGGGGATCCGACGATCAATTGTGTCTGTGTGTTTTTGTTTCCCTCCTGAAACGAGCCTGCGATGACACAACCACCGATGCAAACAACGAGGTCGTCTTGCCACCGCCACCCTCCCACTGCAGGAGCTGGAGCATCCTGCACACTCGAGTCCATCGCCCGCGTGCCTCCACAAAGCCTCACCCGCAAGGTCCACCGCCGGACGCCTGGCACCGCAGGCCGGCGAGCCCCGGGCCCCTCCTCTTCAGCTCGTCGGCGTCCGCAGAGCTCGACACCTGCAATATCCGGTAGTAATCTGTCGGCGAGCATTCCAGCACCCGGCGCACCTCACACCCTGCCCAGGAAATAAGAAACTGCAGGTCCGAACCTTCCGTATCACTTTCCACCCCTGCACTCCCATGTCTCTCCCTTTCCTTCTTTCGATCTCTCTTTCGCTATCCCTCGCTCTCTTTCTCTCTCTCTCTCTCTCTTTCTCTCTCTCTCTCTCTCTCTCTCTCCATCGCTCTCTCTACTTCCATATATATATATATATATATACCTACCTCTCTCTGCCTCTATCTGTTGTGTTTCTCTGTTGCTCTTTGTCAGACTCTCTCTCTCTCTCACCCTCTCTCCTATCTCCCTATCCTTCTCTCTCTCTCTCTGTGAGTCTCGGCTCGAGAGTGCCCTGCACTCAGACCGCAGCCGCGACGCGAAGCGCCCCGCCTCGGAGCCAGTCTCCCAGGCCTCGCGAGACCGGAGGGGTCCCAGCAGGACCCTACTGATTCGCGTCACCTCTTCCCTCCCACCAGAGCGCCCGCCGCAATGGCCCCCGCCAAGCCGGAGCGCCGTCGCTCTTCCAAGCAGCCGCCGAGCTCACGTCCTGCAGCTGAAGGATCCCTCCTCCAACGCAAACAGGACTGCATTGCAGCTTTCAAGCAAGCGGGGTCTGACCGCCCCACGGCCGCATACAACGGGCTCGCCGAGCTGAACGCGGACGAGCTGCAGGCCACGTACGACATGCACAAGACCAACACAAAGAAGCTCGGCAGTGCCTTGATCCGCATGTGTGCCGCCAACCAGATCAGCTACACGCTGGATCACCACCAGCGCAGCAAGCCTAAGCGCAATGGTGGTGACACATCCTATCCACCAGCTGCGTCCGCACGTCTTCAGGCTGCGGACGCCAAATTTATTGCCTTGGACCCGGCCTTCTGGAAGGTCCCAGTCCTGGCCGAACCCACATCACTCGACGACGGCAAGACGTACAAGCCCAGCATCAGCCTCCACGACTACGAGAGTGGCGAGCGGCTGCTGCAGCACCATCTCGAGCAGGGTAAGCGTACCACGGGTCAGCTCGCGATCGCTGTCATGGGCCCAAAAAACGACAACTACGTCGGCACCGAGCTCGCCGTCCCCGTGCTGAAGCGCCACCCCAAGGCGCCCAATGTGGTTCACACGCACGTCCCCGTGACCGTGTACCAGCTGGGCACCAAGGAAGTCGCCTGCACGGAAAAAGTAGCCGTCGCCACCATTGATCCTGCCGACCACGTATGCTGGATTCGGGTGACCATACATGAAACCGAAGCCATCGCCGCAGTCCCCTCCATGCATCAGGCCTTCGAGGATCAGTTTTCGGGAGGCGCCCCCGTGAACGGTGGTCCACGCGCCAAGGGTCCTTTCCGAGGGGATTCCGCTCCACAGGACAAGGCGCGCCAAAACCAAAAGCACAGGGAGTCTAAGAAAGACGCTCGCCGCCAGGAGCTCGACAGTCAGCTTCAGGACACCTTCAAGGCCCTTTTCCACGGCAACTTTAAAGCCGTCACTATCCTCGAACCCTGCAAAAGTCTAGGCAGGTACGGATCTGGCGTCGGAAAAAGGTCCCTGGCTGCCACTTTCGGCGTCAGTCTTCAAGCAGTTGACAAGGTCTTGGCGGGTTCGGGGCAACTCGGCGCCACCTACGACCTCAGCAACGTAGGTGCGGACGAGCCCACGGCAGACAAGTACCAGACCGTGTGGTTCCCCGAGGACCAGCCCATCACGATGGCAGAGGCGTTTCAGAAGTCGGTGGACTTCAAAGCCCTAGGAGTCGTCAGGCACGGCAAGTCAGGCTTATTGGGGATCCGTGTTGCACGTGGGTCAGACGCCGCCAAGGCCGCTGCCGTCAGCATCCGTGGCTGTGAAGCCACTCTCGCCAAGACGCGATACCGCATCACGGGCATTGCGGCACGCCATGCCACGCTGACCCAGCTTGCTAAGACTCTCACGGGCCCGTCCGTCAAATGGGACTGTGAGGTCTACCACACCGCCTGGGACCCAGCCACTTCGGCGCAGTTTGCCTTAGTGCGCGCTCATCGTCCCCCACCCACATATACGGTACAGGTCGCAGGGTGCCCCATCCCGTGGAGCATCACCGAGGCCCCGTTGGCTGAGGTCGTGCCGAAGAGGGACAACGTTACCATTGTCACCCCTACTACTATCACAGAGCCTGTGACGCCGCCCGCCCGTGGTGGCGGCTTCAGCCCCGCCACGGGCACACTCCTAACCAAAGCGGCCCAGAGCCCCTACCTCCACGACCTCATGACTGCCACGCCCAAAGGCAAGGGCGTCGCACCGCTCCCGATCCCCAAGGAGGAGCCTTTAGCCAAGCGCCACCGATCCTCCAGCGGGAAACGCGACGCCACGCCGCACGCAAGATCACACGGCGCCCCAGGCCGCAGCTCCTCTGCACCCCCGCACGGCACGGATGGAGCTGCCGAGCAGACGGCCGTCCAAGGACCAGGTGGGGACGGGCATGACCCGCAACCTGGCACGGTGGCGGCCGAAGGTGGGGGCCACACGGAAGGGCACGCTGACGCAGCCGCCGAGGTACCAGGCGACGTCGAGATCCTCTCATCAGAGGATGAATTCAGCGTGGCATCGCGCGAACCGAACACCCTCGGCGAACGCTTCGCTACGGCCCCTAAACTGTCAGATGCCGCCACGACCCGCATCCAACACATGGAACAACAGCACGAGCTGCTTGCCAACACGGTGGACAACATGCAGGTCCAGCTTGCGGGCGTTCTCTCATCCCAGGCCACACTCACGGAGCACGTTTCAGGCTTGGAACGAGGGCTTGCCACCGTCGTCACTCAGCAACAGACGGCAACTACCGAAGCTGCTGCACTGCGCGGCGACATCCAGGCCCTCCTCGGACACCTCACGGGGGGTACCATCCACCTGCCCCAGGTGGCCACCCTCGAAACCAAAAAGGAGGAAGCTGCACCAGTTGCCGATCCCGTGGCTGTCTGCGGGTGGATCGACCAGCCAGGCCAGGTCACCCCAGGGACGGGGCCCCCAGGGGCTGACAAAGGCAAAGACAAAGGGCGGGTCACACAGGAACCCTATTGAAGGTGCCTCAGAGAGCCCGCCTCAGCCCTCCGAGGAAGCGCCTTCAGAGGCATCCCTTTCACTTCTCGTCGTACCTCCTCCTTGCTATATCATGTCATTTTTGGCAGCAGCACGAGCAAGCTACCTGGTGTAGGGACACCTGTCATCTTGCTGTGGGTGTGTTTGTTGCAATGTACATGAGCATGCAGGGGTACCTAAAGATGCGAGCTGACATGCAGCTTTTGGCTCATCGCTCGCGCCGCCCGCCAGGCCTCGCCATCATGTGGCGCTTTGCTTGCAGCCTGGCCCTCCCCTCGCTCGCTGGAGCACACCCGTCTTCAGGCGGTGCGCCCCAGCATGGAGGTGGGTTTCTCCTGCAGCACGTCGAACGTGCGTCCCTTTTCTACCTCTACGATGACAGCATCTACAAGTACGATCACTGCACCATTTTGGACCCGATCGTCAACGGCACCGCTGCCGCGAGTCCGTGCAGTATTGGCCAGGCACACAGTGGCGGCTTCAGCCCCGCTGCTGTGCCCCGCTATTGCCCTACGGGTCCCACCACTCCCATGCGAGATAGGGGCGAACCCGAGGAAGACCCTGCTTTCTGGCACCTGATGATGATCCGCGCCCGGCTCATACCGTGTGCTGCGGCGTGGGCACCAGGTGAGGAAAACCAGGACATGTTCTGGGCATGGCTCGAGGACTGCGTCCCGTACATCCTGGCGACGCTCCATCTGCCACAGTACGATCACCTCTTCCTTGAGGCGTCCGAGGACACCACCGACGCCCTGCGTCATCGCACCGCGGTCGACATGTGCGAGGACATCTGGCACAGAGCGGGCCCCGACAGGCAGCGCATCAACCGCAACCTCACTCGGATCCAGAGCAGCCGCGAGTACGCCACCCGCTATTTCGGCCTCCTTCTGGAGTACCAGGGCGCTCGTGCCACGCTCGTTGGCCCTGAGGCTTTCATGGCACCTTTGCCGCCATACCTCTCACGGGCCCATGCTCTGCTGCCAAGAGGTCTCCCTCCACCCGACCATGACGCCATGGCGTACCTCGCTGATGTTATCCTGCACCAACCGCCAGACATGCTGCCGCTCGTCGAGGCGGAGCTCGCTGCGGCGCCGACGGACGGCACCGATCAGGCCGCAGAAGATCCCGTATCATGGCTGCTCCAGCACATCGCGGCCAGCGATATCGGCAATACATCCATGGACTCGTTCCACGCGTCGGAGGATAGCCAGGACGACATCGATATCCAGGATCGAGACGGCACGATACCATCAGGCGACTCGGCTCAGCGTGACCGCGACAGTGAGCCTTACTTTGGGCTCGCCCCATGGCAAAGCAGTGCGCCCCACACCTCAGATCAGGCCGACCCTTCTGCGCGGCTCAACGACGCTGAAGGCGTCACTGCCGCTGATGTGACTAGCCATTCCACTGCTTCGCCAGCTCATGCCAGTCCGTGCAGTGGCGGCTTCAGCCCCGCTGCACCACTGGCTAGACCTGGACATCCCCAGACCGCAGGAGGCGACAACGTGACTGACTCCAACCCCAGTGCCATCGACCACTGGCAGGCCGACATCGACAACGACCCCATCGATGATGAACACCCAGATGCCAGCGGTCCCCACGAGCCCCAGCACAGCTCAGCGGCATCACGACATTGTGGCTGCCTCATCTGCCTCCTGGTGGCCACGTACGCCATCGCGATAGCAATGCCGTACAAGGACCAGATCGATGGATACTTGCCGACCCCGAGCCGAGACCCCAGCTACCGACAACGACGACGACGCCAAGCGACCGCACCAGGCCCATCGGTGTCCACTATATTCCGACGCAAAACGACATACTATGTCACGTCCACATTGAGGGCCACTCTCAAATGGACCAGCGACAAACTCAGAGATGGTGTCTCGGGCGGAGCCACTGCAGTCGCGGTCGGCTTCGGGGGCGTCCTTAAATGGGC